AAAAAAAATTAAAAAATGAAAAATGAAAAACAAAAGAAGCTGAGCGCAGAGCCCCCGAATTCAGGGGAAATTAGTTCAAAAAATCAAAGACCATCCTTATTGGTGACCCATAGGTTGGGTCACCAGGAAAAAGACAAATAAAAAAAATAAAAAAAAAATAAAAAGAATGGAAAATAGCAAAATTTTGGCGACCCAGGTCACATTGTGACCTTGGGTCGCGCCTTTTTTACTTTTTTTTTTCATTCTTTTTAATAAAGGGAGAGAGAATTGGGACACTTGTCCCATTCTCATTGGACACTATTCATTTTATATAATTAGATAATTATAATTCAAATTATTGATATTATTTCATATTAAAAAGTAAAATAAAAATTATTAAAATTCGTATTTTTTCATTCTCTACAAATAGAGACAACTCTTGATATGTTTTGGAACACAATCAAATTTATTATATTAGGTTGGTTTGTAGATAAAATAATACCAAAAAATACACTGTAAATAATATTTAATAAATAAATAAATAAAAATAAAATAAATATTATGTTGGATTGAGTTGAGTTGGGTTGTGAATAAAGATAGGGTGATTTATTTATTTAAGAATAAAAAAAAACAAGTGGACAAAAAAAAAGGAGTGGAAAAAAATCAAAAGCACGTATTCCCGGAATACGTTTTTCTAATTAAATTTTATTAGAGAAAACGTATTCCGGTAATACGTTTTATAAATATTTTTGTAAAATTAAAAAAAATAATTTTCCGTTATAAAAGTAGAATTCAATTAATTAATAGTAATTATAAAACGTATTTGCATAATACGTTTTGAAAAACCCTAAAATTCAATTTTAGGGTTTTTGTAAACGTATTTTCGATATACGGTTCGTTAAAATTAATAATCTATTATAGATGTATTTTCTAAATACGTTTATATAGTTTAATTTACAAAAAAAAAAAAAAAATAATGTAAACGTATTCACAAAAATACGTTTTACAATTGAATAAAAGTAGAAAACGTATTCCTGTAATACGTTTTACAATCAAATATTAAAAAAAAAAAAAAAACTCTTCTCTTCCCTCACACTACAAGAAAATAGAGTTTCAGTGAAGAATTTTGTTGTCACTGTGTTGTCACTATATCTACTGTCACTACATCTACAATTATTGTCACTATATCTACAACAATTGTAGATATAGTGACAATAATTGTAGATATAGTGACAACAACTGTAGATATACTGACAGTAGATATAGTGACAACATAGTGACAACAATCGTAGATATAGTGACAAAAAAATTCTTCACTGGAACTCTACTTTTTTGTAGTGTCACTTCAGAGACGAGATTTAGGAGTATTACAGAAGCAGCAGCACTTCGAGCAGAAGCGAGCTGCGTATTGATATCTCTACCCGATCCGAATTGACAACAACGACACGAGCCTCATTTCCGGTTAATTCTTTTGCACAAGGTATATTGACTTATCTCAATTTCTTACATTGTTTTGGATTGTTTGAAAATTGGGAATTGTTATAGTATGTTTGAATGTAGTGGTGTTTGAACATTGGGAATTGTTATAGTATATTTGAATGTAGTGGTGTTTGAACATTGGGAATTGTTAATTGTTTATCGAATATTTGTAGTTGAATTGGAGATTGGAAATTTGTTGTAAATTGTCAATTGTATATTGATTCGTTGTTGTTTGGCTTAGGGTTTTTTGAATTAGGGTTAGAATTAGGACTTTCCATTTATTCGAAATATAGATGAATTTTATGTTATTGTTGATTATGGGTATTAGGGTTTTGGAGAATTATTTTATTGGAAATATTTATTTTGGTTATTTGTTGAAATAATTGAATTTTTTTTTGTGTTGGATTAGACATTATGCGTTGTTGTAATTGGGAAGAATATAAATTGTCTTTTTGCAGCAGGTATTAATGGCGCATTCCGGTGCATACTTTGTTAATTTGTACTGGCATTTTCTGAAGGAAATGCTAAGTGAATTTGTTTTATTTAAAGATCATCCAGATGGTTCATTGTTTATTCCGGAGAGGATATCTTATCAACAATTGGTAGAAATGATTAATGAAAATTGTTGCTTTGGAGAAGGTTGGACAATGAAAGAGATTACTTTAATAGTTACTCAACCCGATGGTTCGTTGAATTTCATAAGACTGAATAACGATAGTGTTCTTCAGTATATTTATTACCTTCCTTCTATGTCCATGGTGTATTTGCATTTATTGTTGGAGGCAATTACACCGGTTACACAGGTTGAGGATGTGTGGGGATGTTACGGAGGAGTGGTGGATGTTGAGGGTGTGTCTACTTCGCATCTACGTAATTTTGGAGAAGGACAAGCTCAACAATGCAATGGGAAAATGAGAACTGGGAAAAAGAAGAAGGCGATGAAGATTTCATTCCTAGTGAAGATGATTTCACAGATGAGACCTCCGAAAGCGAATCAGACAGGTCGGTAAACAAGAAAAGTGAACCCGAATTGATTGAAGAGGAAGACCCTCTTCCTAGTGGTGGTCGCCACATTTATCGCGAGACGGGTGAATGGGAGCCATAAAAGATAGATGAGAACGAGTATGCTCTTCCATTATGGAATGTGGACATTGAGACCATCCGTTTGGGTACAGTTTTTAGAAGCAAGGAAGAGGCACAATCGGGTATCTTGGCTTGGAACGTTGATAGGCTGAGGGCGGTTTGGACAATAGATTCTAACCAAAAGTCATTCAAAGTGGTCTGCAGATCTAATGAAGACGAACCTTGTGTGTGGAAGGTTCGAGTGACTAAGAAACGGGTTCATGAAATGTGGGAATTAACCGAATGGACTGACAGACACACTTGTATGCAACGGGTTGAAAGAAATGACCACAGAAACGTAACCGCCCGTATGATTTCAAATCTTGTAGTTAACAAGATTGAAAAAAAATTGGACTACAACGTTACATTGATCCAAGCCGATGTGAAACAATGCTGGAAAGTCGATGTAAGCTACAAGAAGGCGTGGCACAGCAGGAGAAAAGCCATCGAGCATGTGTATGGCTGCTGGGAATCGAATTTTGCAGAACTCCCTCGGTATGCAAAAATTAAATAAAAATACATGTGTTGTTTGTCTGTCATAATGTTTATCTATTTATGAAACCGTTTTGTAATTTGCAGGTATTTTGCCGCGCTTCAAAGAGCGAATCCCACCACAGTTGTGCAGTGGGAATGGCAGGGTGGGGAAATGGTGCATCAGTATAGAGACAGACAATTCAAATTTGTATTCTGGGCGTTTGGTCCCGCCATTCAGACCTTCCAACTATGCCCGCCGGTCATTAGCATCGATGGCACACATTTTCGGATCGTACAAGGGGAAATTGCTTGTGGCTATAGCACAGACAGCGAATAAGCGACTATTGCCAATCGCCTATGCTATTGTTGATGAAGAAAGCAAGGATAGCTGGTCCTTTTTCCTTACAAATGTGCGGCAATATGTTGTGTTCGACCGACAGATCTATGTTCTTTCCGACAGGGATAACGGCATACTAAGTGCCATTGACTCGTTGGTTGGTTGGCAAGAACCCGCTGCATATCACCGGATTTGCCTTCGACACCTTCGAAGCAACATGATCACTAACTTTAAGAATAAGAAATTACGTGATTGGTGTTGGGATTTGGGTTCGCAATTGTCGGAGCGAAAGTTTCGAGCGACAGAACAACGACTGTTGGAATTTAATCCCCAGGCACACAAGTACCTCTTTGATATTCCTTTGAACAAGTGGACCATGTATGGTGATGAAGGAAGACATAGATGGGGCACATTGACGACCAATATGTCGGAGAGCTACAACAATGTTTTGAAAGGCGTTAGGTTTTTGCCGTGCAGAGCTTTGGTACATGCCACATTGGACAAAACTTTGAATTTGTTGGAACAAGAACAAAAGAAGGCCACGAGATGCATGAGTCTCATTGCTACTCAGCACTATACCGCGTTTTTGGAATTGGAGCGTACATCCACAACCCATTTTGTGACATGTGTGGACGCCGAAAAGTCCAGGTACAAGGTCATAACCGGTCTACGGGCTAGTGGGAGAGGGCAAAACAGGTATATATGGTTCTATTTTTTTTTCCATTCAAATATTTGAATGTTTATATATATAACTCATTGCTTGTTTAACAGCTTTAAGGTTAATTATCGTCGGAAACGTTGTAGTTGTCTGAAGTGGCAGACACACAGGAAACCGTGCTCTCATGCAATAGCTGTAGCTCGTCACATCGGGCTTGATCCAAAGTCGTTGTACGATAGGGCATTTTGGACGGAGACCTGGGTAGATCAATTTACTAATTGGAGTTTTGCTCCAATTGGTACTGCGGATACATGTGCGTCGGTGGGATGGAATTTGATACCACACTGGGAGAGGATGATCTTGAAGCCTGGACCCGGTCGCAAACAAACGAGACTCTATCGCATGCAAATGGATCGTCGGGCGCGCCGTAGAAATGATAGAGGACAGTGTTCGAGATGTGGTAATCCCGATCATGTTGTGGATGAGTGTCAGTCCTCACACCCACGCACCGATAGGTCTAGACTTCGTGATGAGTGGGGGAACTAGATTTATTAGTGTGTATTTGGATTTGTTTGAAAGGTTCATTTGGATTTGGTAGGATTGTTATTTTGTTTTGTTTGGATTGTTTATTTTATTTGAATTTGTTTAGATGATTTATTTGGAATTGTTTGAATGGTATTTACGATAGATTAGTTGATTTGTTACTGTAATTTTTGTGTAGTTGGTTGTTTTGAATATTTAAAACATGTATTTTTGTTTAAAGAATGCAAAAAAACCAGTTTTTTTTTTTAAGTTACAGGTAAAAAGGTATTTTAATAATACGTTTTATTAATAAAAAAAGAAAAACGTATTCCTATAATACGTTTTATACAGCGATTTAAAAGTAAACCGTATTTCGAAAATACGGTTTTTTTTTAAAAAAAATGGTACAAGGATCCCAGATTGGGGACTCGAACCCGGGTGAATGGGCGAATCCGGTGTCTCTGGGCGCACCTCGTACCATTGTGCCGGCAGACACTTTCCGATAATTTTTGTACAAATTATATACATATACATATTATATGATATATTATATAATATAACATATGTTATACTATATGTTATATTATATGATATATTATATAATATAACATATGTTATACTCTGGCGTCTCAGGACAGCTGACGAGCGAGACCAGCTGACTTGGGATCAGCTTAAGGGGATTTTGGAGGCCAAGTACTACCCTCGCCACTTTCGCGAGAGGATGGAGCGAGAGTTCTATGACTTGCTTCAGGGAGACCGCTCGGTTGAGGAGTACGAGCGGGAGTTCGCTCGTAAGAGCGCCTTTGCACGCCATCTTGTGGACACCGACGACAAGAAGGCCTCCCGTTTCCGCAATGGCCTGACCAGAGACCTTCGTGTGCTCGTAGCCAGCCATGGCTATTTGACTTATGCTGAGACCGTTGAGCAGGCTCAGCAGATTGAGGCATCCCAGTTGCTAGACACTCCTGCACAGCCACTAGCTCAAGTGGCACCACTAGCCAGACAGCCAGCTGCCATCCAGCCAGCCCTGCCATCGCCACCTCATCAGGCGCAGCACCGACACAAGAGGAAGTGGAGAGGTCGCGACGATAGGAGGAACCGTCGACCAGGAGCCCCAGCTCAGGCAGCACCACCGGTCCCGCAGCCCCCAGCTATTTGCGCTACTTGTCAGCGCGCCCACCGGGGAGAGTGCCTAGCTGGGCAGGACATTTGCTATCGTTGCCGCCGACCCGGTCATAGGATCGCAGACTGCCCAGATCGCCCACAGCCTCAGCAGGGCCAGAGACCGCCAGCTCATAGGCAGCCAGCACCGAGACAGCCAGCTCAGCACCCACCTCGAGGTGCACCTGCCCGCATTTACGCACTTGACCAGGAGCAGGCCGCCGAGCAGCCAGGTACCATGTCTGGCATGCTTTCTTTACTCGATGTACCTGTCTTTGCTTTGTTCGATACCGGGGCGACACATTCGTTCGTCTCGACTAAGTGTCTAGAGGCCATAGGGGTCCAGGGTGTGAGTGACGTCGACCCCCTCGAGATCAGCCTAGCTTCGGGGAGGAAGATAGTCACGAGTTCCCTGGCCAAGATCCTTAGCATGTGTATTGGAGGCAGAACTCTAGAGGTAGACGCATTCGTGATCGAGACGAGGGACTTTGACCTTATTCTCGGCATGGATTAGTTGGAGAGATATCACGCAGAGATCCGATGCCGTGATAGAGAGGTGACGTTGCACTTAGCCGATGGAGACCACATCACATTCTTCGGGACGAGGACGAAGACTTTACCGCGTATCATTTCCATGTCGAAGGCGACTAAGTGCCTACAGAGGGAGGATTGTCAGGGCTATCTAGTCACTATACTCGGGGAACCTTCGGAGGAGCGCATGCCCGGAGATGTACCCATAGTGAGAGATTTTGTGGACGTCTTTCCAGATCAGCTACCGGGAGGACCACCTAGTCGTCAGGTGGAGTTCACGATCGACCTGTTACCTGGAGCTGGGCCAGTGTCGAAAGCGCCATATCGTATGGCACCGAAGGAGCTTCAGGAGTTGAAGGCTCAGATTCAGGAGTTGTTGGGTCTTGGCTTCATCCGGCCGAGCGTTTCACCTTGGGGAGCACCTGTCCTCTTTGTGAAGAAGAAGGACGGGACACTGTGCATGTGCATCGACTACCGGGACTTGAACCGGTTAACGGTGAAGAACAAGTATCCACTCCCCAGGATAGAGGACTTATTCGACCAGGTGAGAGGTGCCCGTGTGTTTTCCCGGATAGATCTTCGTTCGGGTTACCATCAGCTGAGGATTCGGGAGTCTGACGTGGCGAAGACCGCGTTTTGTACCCGATACGGTCCCTATGAGTTTGTCGTGATGCCGTTCGGCTTGACCAATGCGCCGGCGGTATTCATGGATCTCATGAACCGTGTCTTCCACCCATTTATGGACCAGTTTGTCATCGTCTTCATAGATGACATTTTGGTGTACTCGAGGAGCACAGCCCAGCACGAAGAGCATTTGAGGATCGTGTTGGAGACTCTTAGGCGGGAGAGACTGTACGCCAAGTTCTCGAAGTGAGAGTTTTGGCTCGATCGAGTGGCATTCCTCGGTCACATTGTTACGGCCGAGGGCATTGAGGTCGATCCTGGGAAGATCGAGGCAATGAGGAACTGGTCAGCACCTAAGTCTGTTACCGAGATACGAAGTTTTCTCGGGTTAGCAGGCTACTACAGGAGGTTCATTGAGGGGTTTTCGAAGATAGCCTTACCCTTGACACGCTTGACGAGGAAATGGACTAAGTTCGATTGGAGTAGCCGTTGTGAGTCGAGCTTTCAGGAGCTCAAGAGGAGGTTAACTACGGCACCCGTGCTGACTATTCTGGACTCTACACGGAGTTTCACTATCTATAGTGATGCTTCGAAGCAGGGACTTGGGTGCGTGCTGATGCAGGAGGGCAAGGTTGTCGCTTACGCTTCGCGACAGCTGAAGCCCCACGAGGAGAACTACCCGACTCATGACATTGAGTTGGCGGCCGTTGTCCACGCACTCAAGATTTGGAGGCACTATTTGTATGGTGGTCGGTGCGAGATCTACACCGATCACAAGAGTCTGCAGTACATCTTCACGCAGAAGGAGCTCAACATGCGCCAGAGGCGATGGTTGGAGCTAGTGAAGTATTATGATTGCACCATCCAGTATCATCCGGGGAAGGCGAACGTGGTAGCTGATGCCCTTAGCCGAAAGGCGAGGGGCGAGTTGACTTGCATGATCACCCAGCAGAGTCAGTTCCTTCGAGAGTTCGCTCGGATGCAGTTAGACGTCGTCGAGTCACTTCCTACGATGCCTGTCGTAGGAGGTGTTCGGTCGATGAGAGTGTGGCCCATGCTCCGAGATCGAGTTCGGAGAGATCAGTCCGTTGATGAGTTCCTCCGTTCCATGAGGGCGAAGGTTGTTGCCGAGGGTGTAGAGGGTTTTTACCGAGGCGCAGATGGTGCCTTGGAGTATAAGGGAAGGCTCGTTGTGCCGAATGTCGAGGCCCTGAGGAAGGAGATCTTGACCGAGGCTCACAGTGCACCCTATTTGGCGCACCCCGGCAGCACCAAGATGTACCACGACCTGAGAGGGTCGTTTTGGTGGAGGGGCATGAAGAGAGATGTTGCTGAGTTTGTGAAGAAGTGCTTGGTTTGCCAACAGGTGAAAGCCAAGCACAAGTTTCCACCGGGTTTAGTGCAGCCCTTGGAGATCCCACTGTGGAAGTGGGAAGAGCTTACCATGGATTTTGTTACGGGACTACCCAAATCGAGGGAGCAGCATGATGCGGTTTGGGTAGTTGTGGACCGACTGACGAAGTCAGCTCGTTTCTTGCCCGTGCGGATGACGATGTCCATGGACCAGCTCGCGACGATCTATATCCGCGGGGTAGTGCGACTTCATGGAGTCGCCAAGGTCATCGTGTCAGATCGAGATCCCCGTTTTACCAGTCAGTTCTGAAAGAGCCTCAGCGAGGCCGTGGGGACGCAGTTGAGGTTCAGTACCGCTTTCCACCCGCAGACCGACGGGAAGTCGGAGCGGACCATCCAGACACTCGAGGACATGCTTCGAGCATGTGTTCTGGACCGTGGTAGTTCATGGGAGGAGTTGTTGCCGTTGATTGAGTTCGCGTACAATAACAGTTATCAGGCGTCGATCAGGATGGCACCGTACGAGGCGTTGTACGGTCGCAAGTGTCGATCACCCCTTTATTGGGATGAGGTCGACGAACGGCAGGTTCTCGGTCCGAAGCTAATCGAGGACACGGTGGAGAAGGTCGCCTTGATTCGTGAGCGGATGAAGGTGGCACAGGATCGACAGAAGCGTTACGCTAACCAGCGTAGACGAGATATCCAGTTCGAGAAGGGAGATAAGGCATTCCTGAAGATCACGCCTTTGAGAGGCGTGGTTCGCTTCGGGAAGAGGGGGAAGCTGCAGCCCCGTTTCTTAGGCCCATTCGAGATCCTCGAGCGAGTGGGTGAGGCCACATACCGGTTGGCGTTGCCACCCGAGCTTTCGGGTGTGCACAATGTCTTCCACGTTTCGATGCTGAAGGATTACGTGTATGACCCAGCGCACGTGTTGAGTTACAGTGAGCTTGACGTCGGGCAGGACCTGACGTACGAGGTGCAGCCGATTGCTATTCTGGACCGAAAGGTTCAGCAGCTGAGGAGCAGAGATGTAGCGCTCGTTCGAGTCCAGTGGACTCGCCACGGTGAGGCCGAGGCCACGTGGGAGCGAGAGGAGGAGATTCGAGCTCGCTATCCAGATTTCCAGTTCTGATTAGTAGTATCGTATTATGTATTTTCAGTTTCTAGTTTTAGTCGAGTTGGCCTTATGTTTAGTTTTGTCATTTCCGGGGATGGAAATGTTTTAAGGAGGATAGATTGTAACACCCCAGACCAAAATTATATTAGTAGCTCGACTTATTTATCGAAAATAGTATTATTTTAATTATGCCGAGAATTATTAATATTAATTGCATAATTTATTTATTTTCAAGTCTAAGCCATAAAGAGAGCATCCAATTAATTAAATTACTTAGCCCAACATTATTTATTCGGTCCAAGTAACGGTATTTATTTTCCTAACTCGAGTCCAATTTACTGAGCCCAAGTAACATTTTTTTAATCTTACAAGCTAAAGCCCAGTTTTAGCCCAAGACAAGATTTAATGTTAAAGCCCAATTTTGGGCCCAAAAATGTGACCAAACCCTACTTTCTCCCTCACTATAAATACACCATCATATTCATTAGCCTACCATCTTCATTCTTCATCTTCTTCAAAAGAAAGCCACCTCCACCTTCATTTCCGGCCGACCACCACCAGAGCTCCGGCGAGCCGACGAACCTCAACCCCGAACTCTCACCAGAACCAGCTAACGCCGCTGCTGCCCATTCCCGCCGGCGAGCAGCTCCACTCCACGCGAACTCGCATCTCCGGCGACAGCAAGCTCGCGACCACCACAGCTCCATCCTCAGCCGTGTTTTTCCGACGACCAAAGCTCCTCGCCGGGAACACAAGCGACCAACATCTCCGGCGACGTCACGAGCTCCTCCGCGCGAGACCAAAAACCAGCAGATCCGCACCTCCACTTTTGCGAACTCCGTTTTCCGGTGGAGTTCGAACCCACAGCTCACTCACGACCAGCTGCTCTTTCCACCGGCAAAGAGCTCGCTCCTACTCGCAGCTCCGACGACAACTCGTCACCAGCTCTCCTCTGCGTCGTCCCGACGAGTTCACGCCGGAAAAAGGCCACCATTTCCGGCGAGCTTCTCACAGCGAGTTCGCAGCCTTTATTCCGGCGTCCCGCAGCTGCTCGGAGCTACTGTAGCACGACGACCAGCAGGCTTCCACAGCCCAAGATCCGTAGTCCTCACCATTAGATCCGAACTGGTTCACTCCATTTTCCCTCTCCTTAGCCCGATCCGTTTTTCGGTCCGTCGTTTTCGAACACTTGGAGGTATAATAGCTAAAAACTCATCTTAATGGCTTGGACTTGATAATATATATGAGATAAAATAAATGAGATGTTGATTTGAGTTGATTTTGGAAAAATCGGTACATACGAGCTTAAAGCGAATAAATTGATATTTTTCGATAAACGCGTTAAAATGTCGAAATAAATATGATAAATCCTGATTAGCTGACTTGAGGCCTAGGTTTTAATTTCGTGATTTTTGGTGCCCGTTTAGTATGTTAACTGGATTTTTGAATATGTAGCTGAAATGCCCGATTTTTGATAAATATGATAAAGACCTCGAAATTCGATGCCACTTTCACGAAAAATCTTATAAATGCTGAGTATGACGTGGTTTAAATTTCATAATTTTTAGAGGTTGTTTGGTATGCCTACAAATTCGAGACTTTAGCTGCTTTGGTGAAAACCTTAGAATTTATCCGGTTGAGATTTAGCTAAAAACACTAGAAATCGAGTTGAACTTAAAGTTTGAGTTTTTGACTTGAACCGAGATAGATAGCCGGTTGAGTAGAGAACCCTAGTTTGGCCTTTTTCGGTCAGTCCGGATGAACTCTAGATCCGAGTAGAAAAGTTGTGCGTCGGCTGATGTCGTGTCCGTGCGTACGCACCCGGACCACGATTAAGTCGAGTTGCACCCAGTCAGATAAATAAGATCAGATCAGCCAGATAAGTTAG